TTTTACAGAAACTGAGATATATAGGCTCAAAGTGGACGATCCGGGTGTCGTTCTATTAGAGGTTTTACGGTATCCAAACTTTGAAAATGTTGGGAAATTTCATAAAAATTTCCGAATTTTGAAATTTCAGAATATGACCCGGGCCGGGCCGGAGAATTGTCATTTTGACCTGGCCCGGCCCGTGACAAGTAGGACTAAAACTAACCTGAAGGACCGGTGCTAACCAAATAACAATATTCAATCTCGCATAAACTTTTCGAAGACTCTCTTCAGAAAATTTATCCATCACTAGAAACAACATTTTCTGATGGACCCCCACAAAACTTTTTGTATTGCACAGCCAATTTAGTGTCATTTTCACAGCATGCCTATTTAATAACATTACTCCATATCCATCTGGAAGTTTTCCAACGGCTGTTCGTAGTTCTTCGTACTCGACAATATGACTCCAGTGGAATTCCGCTTCATTTTTTCGAAGAATTTTCAGATTGTTATAGTTCTGATAAATATTATTGATAATTAAAGAAATGGGAATAGCTGAAAATAAAAGGAAGATGGTAAGAAGAGGACGCATTTTGTAGAAATGGGGAAGAAGAACTGAACGATGCGATCTGGATGAAATTGTTTTTCGTCCTACTTTTTGTGGCTTATCTTGAGAATCTTCTGAACACCTTCAACTTTGAACAAAAGTTATTTGAAGTTATTCGTAGTAACGATGCTTCAGAAAAGTTTATTTTTGTCAAAACTCTAAAAAATCATTTCAAAACATTACTCCACACCAAACTGATAACATCCGACGATGTAAGATCAATCAGATTTTTTGTGGAGATGTATAAAATTTTGGTTATTCCTGAGTATGTTGATGACTGAACATTGATGTTGACCGTTGACCCATTCAATGTAAAAGAACGGAAATTTGGTGGAGATGGATAGTTGAAAATCTCGATGATGTCCATAGTTGGAAGAGCAACTGTTCCCTGAAATCATAAGGATATTCTCAGAAATCGAAAACTTATTTCAACCAAACATACCATTCTCGTTCGTGAAATTGTCAATTGCGCTCCACTGCTAGTAGAATTGAAGTTGAAATTGAATTGATGGAAATCGTGTGTATCAAAAGAGTCAACAATTTTCTGTCCATCATCCCAGTACAATACTCCGACGGCTCTTCCCATTTGGCAAGGAGCCACCAATAGCTCAAATGAATTGTGACGACTCATTGTGGTAGTAGTAGTTGGGGTTTGACGTGGAACGGCACTTCCTCATGAAATACAAATTAAAGACTCATGAAAGGGCTTCTAATTATACCTCTCACAAAAACTGGAATTCTGTAGGTGATTGGAGAAGGAACTGTAATATATCCGGCATCTATTTGACTTCCGTACTTGTAATCAAACAACGAATACCATACATCATTTGGTAAATAAAGATTCGTTGTGACAGCTCCTTGATGAAGAACTGGAGCCACTAGAATTCTAGGACCCCACATAAATTGATATCCCAAATCAAATGTTTCAGTATCTGAAGGATATTCAAAGAATACGGGACGAACAACAGTTAATCCGTTTTGAGAGGCTTGGAAATGAAGACTGAATAGATATGGCAGATATTGGTAGCGGAAAAGATTGGCGGTTTTGGTAGCAGAAGCGACTGATGGCCAAACCGCTGGGTCTTGAGCGGGTTCTCCAAGAGTGTTGTGGTTTCTGAAGAAGCTGTGAAAAGCACCCATTTGTTGCCAACGAAGACATAACTCCTCGTTGGATTGTCCAAGGAAGCCGCAGACATCAGAACCAACGTATCTGAAATCCTCAAATAGTTGGAGAAAAATTGATATGCTCTTACGGGATTCCAAACAGATTGAACTCTTGTGCTCCAATAACTGAAGTTCTCAAATCTTCCCATCTTGCTGTATTATCTCCCAACCAGTGTCCCGCGTATCTTCCTGCAGAAGGGAACGTGGATCTAGAGACGACAGCACCGCGTTTTCCAGTGACATCCATCAGAGCCGCTTGAGTCTGAATTGCTTCAGTCAGACCATAAAGATTCTTAACATCGTAAAATCTATAAGTTCCGTTGTTTTGGACACCAGTTAAACAGAGAGTTTTCGAAGATAGATAGGCGTTCTGAAAATGAATAGTTTAGTAGGTCAAGGTGCTTCAAAAATTGTTACGTTCTGATTTCCACCGTAATAGTACACAGCGTGAGTCTGGAATGGTGGAAGATCCCATTGATTTGATCCATTAGTTGGACAGAATAGTGGAGCATCGTTTGGATGATCATTATCATCAAAGTACCAAGGATGTAGCTCATTGGTTCCAAAGTTTGCAGGCTCATTCATATCAATCCAAATTCCATCAAATGTCAATTTGCTGTGATACAGTTCCAGCTCGTCTCTCCACCATGCTTGAGTCTTTCCAGTTGAATCCAAAAAGTCGGGAAATCCAACATGATGATCTGGCCAGACGACACCCAACATTATTTTAGTGTCTTTAGCCATGGGATACAGTTTTTGAATGTCTTGTTGAACTTGAGAATAGTCATCCCATTCAATGAACTTAGCACCCATAGACATAGCACGTTGGAATGGTAGGTAATCTGCTTCCACTGCTGGGTCGAAAATCGGAATCATTTTCATATTCCACCCATGCATCTGTTTCACATAATCTTCGAATCCAGACCAGTTCTGAAGAGATACATGATATTAATATTCAGCTCTCTAAAGAACTTACATCATTTGTACTGAAATCCTTGTACCTGTTCATATAATCAATATCAGCAACTGCAATGTCTAACGGAATCCCTGCGTCTCTAACAGCACCAACTCGCTGTTTCATCTCATCCAATCCATTGTACCCATATCGGGATAACTGATATCCTAGAGCCCAGTACGCAGGGAGAAACGGTTTTCCAATAAAAGCAAGATATTGTTGAGTGACAAGAGCAGGTGTTGGTCCAGGGAAGAAGTAGATATCCAGGTTACCACCAATAGTACGGTAGATCAAAGAAGGTCCTGGCGCGGTGGTAACTTCTTGAGGATTCGAGTTGAAAATAAAGACACCGTGTGCATTCCCATCGGGTTCCAAGCACATATAAAATGGGTGGACTCCGTATAGATTCATTGTATCTAAATTTCCAGAATTCGGAGGTTGATCTCTTGCCAGCATTCCCCATGTCAGGTAACGAGAAAAGTTGTGCTAAAAATCATTATAATTTGGAATGATCTGAAAATATTTGAACTTACTTTCAAAGATTGATGAGCATTTTCACCCCACCCATACACATTTTCACTCGGGAGATATGTGGAAAGTTGGAGGAATTGATCGGAGAAAATCAGTCCTCCAAGAGAGGTATCGAAAATCTTCCGGTTACTACTATTCCGAATAACAGAGAACCAGAAAAGATCGTCGGATGATGCAGTGGTAAATGAGAGTGTTTCAGGAGTAGAGATAGTTTCTCTTGGGAAATCTACAGGTGGTTCGTAACGTCCATCAATTCCAATTTTCACATTTAGGACACTTGCTCCGATGGTGGAAGTTCGTAATTGAATATTCTCAAACTCGGCACCCCATGGGTTTCTGGGTCCATTGTTCTTCCGAAGATTGTAGGTAGATCCTATCTGAGATGCTAGGTTATATCCAACACCATCTTTGAAATAACACCACGGTGCTCCATCAATATCATTGTCCACTGGGTTCCAGATACATCCACGAGATTCACAAACAGTTTGGTTCCCACTCGGCTCCGGTAAGCAATCAATTCGTGGTCCGGCAATACCCGGTTTTACGCAGAGAAGAAAAAGTAGGGAAAAATATTGTAGGTTCGGCTTCATGTTAACTAATAGAAAGAAAATAAGCGCTTTATTGAGGTTATATTAGGAGGACGAGGTAGAATTGATAAGAAAAAAGAAGAATTAGTAGGTGCAAAAAGCGTGGTGAAGATAAGAGTAACAAGTCAACATCAGAAATTATATGGTTTAAAATTTTTAAGCTGTTTCAATGCTTCGATTTTGCTTCGGAAGACGGTGCAACACTTGCCGGGGCACCAGATGTTGCTCCAGTTTTTGTACTAGCCAGGATAGTTAGCCACTCTTGAGGAATTGGTTTTCCTATCAATAAATACCACCTGAATATAATTTGTGTTCTTGAAAATACATTGTGAAAGTTCTTACCAAGATAAGACTCTTTTCTTGTAAATTTGGATGAATATGAGGCATGCCAATGGAGATAAAACGGGCATGAAAAGAAATCCAGTGAGGGTAGTGTATTCAAAAACCGGATGACTGTAGAAAAATTGGGCGATGACATAGCTAAAAACACTCATTCCATAGAAACCGGGGATTAAGGCTTGCCAGGTTAGAGCCTGAAAAAATAATAGGTTCTTTTATGATCTGTTTTTTCCCAAGGCGATATTTGCCTTTTCCCATCTCTCTTACCTTCAAAAGCTGTTTATGCATTTCTTTTGTTTTAGCTGACATATCTTTTGAATTGGAGACCAACTTGGCGATAATCTTTTTTCTTAACACCCAAATTGTTATGTAAACGGGAGTAATCGGAACCGTCATATGAAGAATCGTGTACATTGCCGGAAACTCTATTACATTAATTGTTCCACACACTGTTGCGTTTTCCAACTCATACTCTTGGAATCGCTCCATCAGAATTCGTTTGATTTCAACGGCGTCATCGTCAGCGAGGAGGAAGACCCACTAAAAATTAGACTCAAAAATTTTCACAATTAGTAACGAAAGCTGTCATGGACAAGGCCGCGGATCGTGCAGTGGGTAGGTTACCGTGGACCAAACCATGCTTTCTATCGAAAAAAAGCTCAGCCAACAAGTAGTTTCTAGGGTCCGACAGCCTTGCAGTAAAAGTCAGTGGCATTTTGGTGAAGGTACTTCTGGGATAGATACGATTCGGCGGCCTAGCGGTACTAGAAATTACAGATGTTGGCTCCGCAAATTTTTGAAAGAACGGACAGTTTGGTTCACGGTAGCCTACCCATGACTGGCCGGCCGCGGTCCTGCTTTTGACACCCTTATTAGCTGCCTACCATTTGAATGAATGAAGGAATATAAATTATCAACAAGGCTATAATTAGTGCCTTCCGAGATGGTGCGGGATGAAACAAAATGTAATATCTGTACGAGAATCCCAAGAGCAATGACCAGAGCCCATGAGCTACTAAAGATATATTGATGCTGTATCTGAAAATTCCAGAGGCTTGAACCCTTGATCCTTGAGAAGTTTAGTTACATCAGGTAGCAAAAATGGGGCCCAACAAGTGTACAAAGTCCTCGGGACATGTATGCCATCGTGAACCCAGCGGGAATATGGCGCATTTGAATGAAAAAATCTGTGAAACAGGCAAGGAAATCGGTGACCGCAAAGTTGATGAGGATAGTGGTGTATGCAGCGATTGTCTAGAAGTATTTTTTCTGATTAAAATACTCTTTTTTTCTCAGATTTCTTTACCTTTGGCGTTCGAAACAGTGCCAGAAAGAGGACGATTCCATTGAATGTTAATCCCAAAACAGCAGCAAAGGTGTGAAAAGTGAGGAAAAATATGGTGATGGGGTCAAACATTGTTTCTTCTCTGAATGAGATATCAACGACTTCTGATGGAGTAACAGCAAAAAGAAGGATCGCTTTTATATCGTTTTTTTTACATAAGCTGTTTTTGTTCTTTATCCTTTTTGGGACAAAAACAGTCTAGGGAAGTGATGGAAAATCGAGTAATTGTCTTTCTAACAGAACAATAACGAATACCTCCGAATGGTGAAAAATCAGTGAGGGTTAAAAACAAGGAAGCTCTTTTTGAGAGTCAAAAAAAGGAGGAAGTGGAATGAAAGTTAGATTATATTGGATTTAATGGATAGGTGATTTTGGGAAAAACTTGCATTTTCATACTAAAGGGAATGTGATCTGTGAGAAAAAAAAATTAGGTTGAAATCACTGGGCCTTTCTATTATACGTTTTACGGTAGGTTAAAAGAAGACCTAGATGTTTCCAGATGTTGGTTTACATAATAACTAAAACTACTTCTCTTTGTGATATTGGGAACAAAATCTAGATTTTTAAAAGTAAAGTTTCAAGTTTAAACCTTCACATACACTGTCGTCACATTGAACCACCTACGTAGCATCAATTCTTTTATAGCCCTGAAAAACCAAAAAATCAGAAGACAATTCTATTCTTGTGCATTGCTCACACCTTGTTCACAATAGCACTCATCATAAACTCCTTATTCATCTTTTTAACATCGTGACATACTCACAAAATTTAAGGAAGTGCGGTTAATCATTGTCTGGACATTGTAGTTATCCAAAAAAAAGTGAAAAAAGACGTCTGGAATATCCTGTCCAAAGATCTAGAACGCTCTTTTCAGTTGACATTATATGAATGAATCCCAGTTCATGACAATACATGTTAGTCGGACTCAAGTTTGCACTGGCATGAAATTTAATTAAACTGTTGTACTGGGCTCAAATTTGCGGTGCGAAATTTCATATGAGTAAAATTGCCAATTTTTAAATTATTTGATCAATGTTTAGCTGAGTTATCGCTGGTCAAAGTTGTTTTATCTCAGGAATCTCACAACGGGAAACTACGATGTTCATCTTTGGACAATAGTAACAATACCTGGACTTGAAAAATCGCTTTGAAAGTTCTATTAGTTTTGAATGAAATGTAAAATTATGTTTCTAGCAACTATCGTGACTTCAAGATACTTATATCTGAATATGTAACCGTTTTATCAGTCCGGGTAATTGCGCACCACTGTATGGATTGTAAATCGAGTTGATTTCTGAAGGGCAACATAACTTCCGAGTTCTATATCCCAAACATTAAATCAACAGCATTTCTCAAAATATCCTCCCTTCACACACTTAAAAAAATCTTGTTTTCCTTTCGTAGTTCCACCTTATCAATACATCCTCCTGATCCCTCGCGATTATTCCTATTCTCCGATCAATTGATTCTTTTACCACATGTTTTCTCTTCCTTTCTCGATATTCTTCTTCTATTTTCTATTCGGTTATTCCGTTCAAATGCCACCCGGCAGAATGTGTCTTTCGGAAAGAGTCAACTTTCGAAAGGTTTGGCCTTGTGAGCACGATAAAACTGCTGCCGAGATTTGTAATGATTAGAATTTTGTTTTTCTTTTCTTTTTGAATATCCATTTTCAGTGGAAGAAAGAGAAGATCGTGAAGCGGCCCTTCGTGGTGCACCGTCTGCATTCGCCCGCACTGGATTCTATGATCGTTTGTTCCGCCAACAGAATCTTCCAACCGTCTACGACGATAACATTCCTTATTACCCAACCTATGGCTATAACCCGAACAAGCCAGTTTGGGGACTCTATCGCTACTCGAACTACTTTATCAATCCTTGACTTTTCAACTATTTTGTGGAAAATATTTATAAAATGATAACAACTGGCGGCTACTATTAAACTAATAAAAAAGATCCTATGAGTGAAAACACAAAAAAAAAGAATATCAAGAGAAACAAGAACATGAGATACTCGTAATTGAAGAAAATAAAAAATTGCACATGAGCGCCAAGGCGTTACTTTTTCATGCTATTTGGGTTGAGGATCTCGTCTCGAAGTGATTTTCCACCGAGTACCTGAAGAAGAAAACGATAAATTTAGCAGAAAAGAGAGAATCAGTACCTGTGCTCTGTCTGGAATGTAGCTCTTGTAATTAATCGCGACGTACGTTGGATAAGTCAACGCACATACTGTGTAGTAGACTCGTAACAGCGTCATTCGAGCAGGTCGCTCCAGGTGGTACCACGGTAAACTCATCTGTCAAATTAAGCAATTTTGAAGTCTGCTTTCTTAAATGAAACCAAATGTATACTGAAGCGACGACCCGCAGAAGTAAGGAAAAATGATCACCAACGATGAAATTTTATTCGGAAGAACTTCAGATGAAAACAAGAGTGGAAGAGGAATAACAAAACAACAACATTAATAGGTAAAAATGATGATGAATATCGTAACAACAGCAACAAAAAAAAGGAATCCAGAAACAGCAAATACCAGAAGAAAAAACAAGAGTCAAAGACTATGCATGTTTTTAAAAAAATCTCGAAATAATGATTTTATTGAGAGACTTTCGCCTTCTTGGCGGCGACGACTGGTGTTGCGGATGATGCATCAGCAGTTCTCTTTTTCAGCTTCTTTTCCTTTCTTCTCTTGATTTGCTTCTTGACGATTTCCTTTCCCTTGGCTCTTCTGGCACGCTTCTTCAACACTTTGGATGGATCAATAGTTGGTTTGAGTCTGTCACGGATCGAGTGCTCGTCATTAACAGTTGGGAACAGAACCGCATCATTGGTATCTTCCTTTAGGACACGGATACGAGCATTGTTGCGAACCGCGACTTTGAGACCATCTGGAAGAGTTGAGCAATCGTCGACGGTTTCATGGAGTGATCTGTTGTCGCGAGCAGATCCGGTTGGGAGATGGATTTCAGTGGCCGATCCTTCATCCGCATAAATTGGGAGCGACGGTGTGTTGCTGCTCGGGCTCAAGTAGATGTTACGAACATTGGCGAACCCTCCTGGGCACTTTTGCCCGATCTTCTCAATGACTGTGTTGATGTTCTCGCTGAGTTCAGCTGATCCTTGTCCCAAATGACCGACCGCGACAGCACTTAAAATTTAGATATTTTAACCACCATTATGATGTAAAAAGAAAACTTACGCTCTGGTAATGTATCTTCTGAGAGGATAGACGACTGTTCGGAGTGCTGCTTCGATAGCCGTGCTCATGGGTTTATGGTAGACGAATGGAAGTGGCGACTTATGCACTTTATAGAATTCCTTTCCAAGGAAACTTTTAACCGAATTGTAGACACGTCCGTCCACCATAAACACGTCGTACGATGAAGCAAGCGAGCGCTTGTCTTTGTAGGTGTGAGCGATTCTCTCAACCTCTCGCTTTGTCAGAATTTTCGTGATATGTGCAGAAGTGAGCCCATGATCTGCCTCAATTTTGTCGGCCCATTCGCGAGATTGCTTTTCGACATCGAAATCACGTTTGGCGGCATCGGACTGATCCAAGTCTGGCATAATGACGCAGACAGATGTGTTGTTGATAGTGCGCGTCGAATTCGGCAGCTGGCTGAAAATTTAAAGAATAGGACAAGAAAACAATTTTCAGAAGCTCTTATTATATTTTTAAGATTATTGAAATACTAACATTTGAATCTTTCCTTGAGTTGTTGTGACAGCAGGAAGCTTGTAGGTGACAGTCAAGTTGAGAGCATAATCGATATCAGGAAAGAGTGATTTCTCGTTCTTGTCGGCAAAGTACTTTTTGAGAGCACTGATTGCTTGTGGTGCCTGATCTTTTGCAGCTTGAATCGAAGCGTTCTCTTTAGCATTGATTTTCTTTTCCTGTTTTGGAGTAGATGCCTTTTTCAATTCCTCCGCTCCTTCTTCCTCTTCATCATCACTTGAGTCTTCCTCTTCGACATCCGAACCTTTCTCTTCTTCTTTCTTTGGAACCGCAATCGAAGGTGGAACAGTTTTCACTACCTGCAACTCCTCGTCCTCCTCACTTTCCTCGTCACTCGGAACCTCAAAAACTTTTTTTGCAGTAGTCTTGGCAACTGCCTTAGTAGCACGAGTTGGAGTTTTTCGGTTGGGAGTGGCAGCCGCAGATGGAGTTTTGACAGCGCGAGCTGGTGATTTGGCAGCACGAGAAGGCGTTTTCGGAGCTGGAGTTTCAGTAACAGCTGGTGTTTTTTGAGCACGAGATGGAGTCTTCGGTGCCGGTGTGGCAGCTCCAGTAGCCAGTGCTTTTTGAGCTCTCGTTTTTGGCGACTTGCCAGGTGTCTTTGGCGGAACGACGACTTCTTCAGCGTCTTCCTCGACAGCAACTTGTCTCGCTGGAGTACCTTTAGTGCTCTTTCTACCCATCTGCAAGAAAAGTCATAATTAGAATAAATGAGAGGAACAAGAGGAAGAGAGATAAAAACTGCGGAATATGACCGGAGAAAACATAATGGGCTGATGAAAAGTACATTGAATTACACTTTACTCTAAATCGCAACACAAAAATAATGATTAGCAAGTAAAAAACCAAGAGCTGATAAAGATTGAATCTACAAATGACATCGATCCAGATTACTTGAGAGCTGCCTGCAATCCAAATCCAGGTCCTGGAGGAGTCTCCTTGAGGGACGTGAGTTCTCCAAATGGTTCAGCGGCAAGACGTCCTGATCGTGGACCGGCCGCTGGTTTACGTCCGGCTTTAAGATCATCAAGAATTTCATGTACATCCTACAATTATGATTTCAGATTATTCAGGTGATAGATGTCCGTTACCTTTGGTGTCAAGTCTTCAAAATAGTCATCATTAATCTGGATCATGGGGGCGTTGACACAGGCTCCAAGACATTCAACCTCTGCCAATGTGAAGAGTCCGTCCTTCGTCGTCTCCCCAGCATGGATACCAAGCTTCTTCTCGATCGTTTCTGTGATGGTTTCGGCTCCTCGAAGCATGCATGGAGTCGTTGCACACACCTTAAAAACATTTTTATTAAAGACAGAATGCGTAGTTAAAAACATACCTGGAGGAAATATTTTCCGACTGGTTGCCTATTGAACATGGTATAAAAGGTGGCAACTTCGTAAGCACGCATTCTTGGAACTTCCAAAATGCGGGCGACCTCGTGCATGGCCGAAATCGGCAACCAACCGTGTTGACGTTGGGCAAGATCGAGAAGTGGAATAAGAGCACCAGCCTGAAATATAATTACGAATCGTTGATGTTTAATAAATGTTTCACCTACTTTGTGGCCTTCTGGGTAAATAGCGCAGATGGCCTTAATTCTATCTTCGTTTTCTGGTGTGAACTTGAATTTAACGTTCAAGTTGTTCTCCTTTGTGTCCCTGTGCACCATTAGACCAGTTGCTCCACCACGTTTGGTTACGATTCCACCGAGACGGGATGCTTGAAGCATCATGTTTGATGTCAACGACATCTCCAGATGGTTTATCACCTGTTACTATGTTTTCGTTGAGTAAGTCGGAATATCGATTAATATCAAGATCTTGGTCAAGGGAATCGTAAGAACGGTTGTATATAACATAAATTATACAAATGCTGTTGCACAGAACACAAAATTAATGCTTTTTGGAACATAAACTTGTTATAAAAGCTAAAAAATTCTGAAAATAGGCAACGAAAATGGGCGGAAAATGCAGAGGGACTAGTTTCGGTATTTTTGTGTTTTTAGGCCAAGGGGTGAATTTACGATAAACAACGCGCGCATCGGCATTTCGGAGTGTCGTCGCCAAATTTAGATTTGTCTTTATCATACTTGTAAAATTCCGGACCGGCCCGCCAAAGCCCGGGCCGCGCCGGGCCTGAGGAAAATTTCCCCCTTATGTGTTTTTTGAAATTTTAAAAACTTGTGGAATGACAAGTCCGCCGGGCCTCCAAAATTCGGGAAAAAGCCCGGCCCGGCCCGTTACAAGTATGGTCTTTATTCTTATTTGCATGGAAGTTCTTCAAATATAATTTTAACCGCAAGAATGTATTTCAGATGACGACACCAGATTTCGGCGAAGCAACGTACGTAAGCGGTCGTCATGGGAAAAATCCTGTATTAGTGTACACTAGTCGGACTGATCGGAATAAAGTTTATGAATTTATGATTGCATGCAGATACAAGGTATTTTCATTATTTCATTTTTTAAATATTAAAAGCGCTTTCAGATTCCTGGTTTAGTATCGTGGAAGTGTGTTTCATGTACGAAGGTGAAGAATGGTTACCGAAATTTGGGCGAGAAGTTGACACGCAAAGTCCCGTTAATTCTAGTGGACAACGACATTATCAAGGAGAATCCTGAGAAACCACTGAACGCTGAGCACTTTTGCAATGGTAAAGACGCAGTGGACGCCGTGCTCGACAGAGCAAGAATCGAGTTTGTTCATGTACGTCATTTCTGTATAATTTGTCTTCGCAACAAAAAAATCTTTCAGCGCCACGGAGATGAGGAGCCGAACAGCTTGAAAATCCGCCAAACAATTCAACTATTCGCGCGAGAGGCTGCCGCCACAGCTCCAGTTCCATTGAATTTAAAAGAGAAAAGGCATGTACAAAGACAACTCGATGCAAAATGCCTTCCACTTTTGCACGGAGTTCAAAAAAGACGGAGGAGACTGAAAGACAAAGAAGCTAGTTTGCAAGAGAGTAATTTCCAACATGTCGAGGAAGAAGAAACTCATCATGTTCATGAGCAACAATCAACTTCTTCTGATCCTCATTTACAGCACTCGGAACCGATTCAATCCCCACAAGAAGTAAGAGAAGAAATTGAAGATTCAGCAGATCTTCCTAGGAAAAAAGCCCGTAGATTAATCAAGCATCCACAGTACCAAACATCTTCACATGCAGTAATGGTCAGGCCTCTTCCTCCCGCGCCTTATTATTGTGAGTTTATTTCTGTAGAGCAAAGGTATCAAGAATATCAGTCTTATCACCACGGATACTTTGCGAAGACTTAAAACTTAAAATTCTCAATCTAACTTCGAAGTATTACAGAATCAGGAAAATTACTAAATAAACATTTTCAGATCAACCCTCTATCCCTTCCCGTCACGATCTTTCCTATCAGTATCAACAACATCACCAGAACCAAGTGGACTACTACGACAATTCAGAAGATGTTCACCAGCCGGTCGACGATAACGATGACCTCATCTCAGGGGACCAACAACAAGTGGCGTATAGTATCGAGCTCTAACATTTTTTTTGATGGCTTGATAACGTTTTTCTATTGGTTCGCCATCTATAATATTTTTTCTTTCTTCGAGACTCAAAGTTCGATTTATTATGTCAGCTTCCAGAATTGCCATATACAGTAGTCCCGGTTAGCACGTGACGCCTAGTTTTGTTTGGTTTCTCTGCGCCCTCCCAATTTCACCCATCCGCATTCTCTTTCACCATTCATCAGCTGGCCGGTCCTTTTGCCTTTTCTTTCCACCTCCCCCCACACATGTCTATCCAATTTTCAATGCTATTTTGACAATTTCACCCATCTTCTCAACCTTCACTTTCTCTGCCATAAAGAAAAATCGTTTCTCCCTCAGTGTTCTTTGTGTCCGTTGTGTGTTCTCTCAATTGGTTTCATCAAGCAGCCATCGTATCTGTCAAGTTGCATTGCTTGAAATCGATACTGCCTCCTCAACGCTCTCCGATTCAGAGTGCACTTCCGTGTTTTTCTTTCTGAACGTGAATGCAAGAAGAGTACGAAATGAGTGCGTTGAAGCACAACGAAAGAGTTGGCCGACGAAACGATCGGAAGAGGGACGCTAAGCAAGCTAACCTTCCTGGTCAGAAATTTTTTTACACCTTCGAACTCATTTTTTTAAACATTTTCAGAACGTTCTCCATCACTTCGTAACGAATCTCGCTGTATTCACCAACATTCAAGAGTTCACCCATATCTCCCACCACGCACCAACACTCATCGTCAACGATTAATGATTCGCCCACCTTCTGCCATCTCAATGTCTAACCGTTCGCTTGCTACCTCTGATTACAGTGGAAACGAAAGCGATCGTCAGCTGGATGTCGACGAAGAAATGGAAGGGATGACTCTAGATTCTCCACTCCGAGACGCGGAGCAAGAACCACGCCCGTTTCCAGACAAACCGTATTATTGGATGGACGACTATGAAACGTTGAAGTACATTAACAAAATGTTCCCTGATGATGCTTATTATATTATGCACAATGGAAAAATCGTTGAAGACTTCAAAGAATTCGTCAATGCGTATCGTGGAGATAGTCTTGTCAAGTACTCTTTCCATCTGAGACTTCGTGGAGGAAAAGGAGGATTCGGATCGTTGCTCCGTTCGTTCAGAGTGAATAAAAGTACCAACAAGTTAATGATGAGAGATTTGAATGGGCGTAGAATGGCATCAGTTGATGAGGAAGCAAAATTGAAACGGTATTTGGAAAAGCAAGCAAGAAAAGAACAGGAATTGAAGGTATCACTTAATAAATCAAATCATATCAAAAATTCATTTTTCAGGAGAAACGAAAAATCAAGCTTGCAAAACTGACAGCTGGCCCGGCAAAACATCAGTTTGAAGACCAGGATTATTTGTCTCGCCGCGAAGAGATCCTTGAGAAAACCGGAGATGCTGTTGAAGCTGGATACGCATTGATGCTGGAAAGACAAAGACAATCAAGAGCATCTAAAGAGCAGGAGAAGGATGATTTGGATGATGATGGAGAGGATGCAGAAGACGTTACAGATCTATTCAATGAGAGAGGGGGACTCAAGAGAAAAATCGCTGCGCCAACGGTTGGAGATGAGGACAAGAAGAGAGTTGAAGACGAAAGCGATGGAGACGACAGCGAAGATGATTCGGAGAATGAACCAGATCCAGAGGAGTTGGAAGCAATTCGGAGATATTTCGAGGAGAAGCAACAAACTGAAAAAGAGGACAATGGAGAAGGGTCATCCACGGATGCAGCACAAGAGGAACCGGAACCAGCAAAACGTCCCAGACTTGATGTAGGCTAATTGAATTAACGAATACATCATTAATCTGTACATTTTCAGAGTGCATCAAACATTGACGATCTTCCGAAGATTGATGTGAAAACTCCATGCGAATATGGTCCAATTGAACTAGCTGATTACACCAGTGCCGAAGATCTAGAGCTTCTTGGCCTCGAACATCTCAAAAGTGCTCTGAACGATCGCGGACTCAAATGTGGAGGATCTCTTTCCGAACGGGCTGCTCGCCTGTGGTCTGTGAAAGGAAAGGCTCTTCGTGAATGGCCAAAGAGTATTTTGACTCTGGAATTAAAGAAAAAGGTGGCAGAAGAAGAGGAAGCCGAACGCAAAGCTGCCAAGAAAGCCAAGAAGGCGAAGAAAAATTGAACTCAAGTTAGATTTTTCACTTCATTTAGTGTTCATATATATTCAAGCATTATGACAACTGTTACAGCCCCCACACTTTCCTCCTTGATCTGTGAGACTTTGAAAATGAACTGTACATGAAAATATCAATGAGATTTAAAGCAGTGTAATTTTTTAAAGTAATTTTTGAAGAAAATCATGTCAGCAGGATTCAAAGAATCCTGGGAACTTTCGTAAGTTGGATTTGTGTACAGCAATCAAATCCTCAATCAGACCAGCTGACTTGTCAATTGAATTCTCTGGGATCTGAAAGCAAATGTAATTGAAAGCAAAGTAATTAAAAATGAGCAACTCACCACATCACCGAGTCGTAATGAAAATGATAAAATGAAGGGAAGCATAAGAATAATTGCAGCCGGGAAGCAGAGATCATAAGAGTCTTCTAGTTGTTTTCTAGTATAAGGAATTGATTGATGAGGTTTCAAGCTTTTCACAAATGAAGCGTAGTAACGATCGAGAAGCTCAGCTTTGCATGCTCGGCGGTCCTGAAAAAGAATAATTAAAGGAGGGAGGACAGGATATTTTTCAGAGTTTTTTTGGAGTTCGGTTATGCATTCTGACGTGACGATGTACAGTGTTTAGTGCTCACACAGCGCTTGGCTATCGTGCCACTTTTATCTATTCCATTGTTCTGCCGCCCCAGCTTGTAGCTCAGCTGGTAGCGGAGCGGCACTCCCAGAGGTGGACCCACAAGTTCAACTCCTCCAGGAGCTTGTATGAGAGGAATATCGAGAAATTTATTTTTTCATGTCCCCCAACTGTAAGGTTTTAAAACCCGATTTCATAAGATGTTGAAATTGAAGGTTTTGTATCCATGATACCGTACATCCCCTCGCTTTTGTATTTCTAATTTCATTCACAATTCAATATCAATTGTGTTCTTCTACTGCATTCTCTCTTCTATTTTCACTTCTTTCCACAAACTAGACTGTTTTTCTCTGGAGGGGACTCGTTATCATTTTTGATCACTTGAACTACGTTAATGATAGCCTCCCTCACCGCCTCATAAACGACAAACGACATATGGTACAAACTGACCGTCTTGGACAGACATGTGACCATTAAACACGCCACATCTAGTCCTGGAGAGCTCATGGATGCAGTCTGAAAGTCAATGAGAGCTTTGAATTCCAGATGTCCTTGAGAGGATCGTGAGAAGAGCAAATTAGATGGCCAGATGTCAGAATGCATTAACACTGGGAAATGACCTGAAAGTGAGTTTTCTCTATTTTTTCGTTTGTTTCTTCTTCAACTTACCTAAATATTGCGACACTTTTGAATAGTTATTCTGAATTTCCGGACTGCCACAAATCATTTCAAAAATATCCATTGCCTCATCAACTTTCTCCTCAAATGCTACTCCCAAAACATCAATCAGATTCTGGCGCATGTTGTCCGGGCTCTGAAATTTCAGTTATATAAGCTTCTTAATCTTCTTCCCTATTTCTTACATGCTCTCCATAAAAGTGTTCAATTGCATCTGCAATATAACCGTAGCCATTGGTAGCTGTTTTGATTTCTTCATCACTCATACTCTCTCCCATTGCTGAAAACGCAGCAATTCCATCCACAACTGCCCAAATATCTTCCAATGGAACGTTGTCACTCATTGCCACATCATGAAGATTTGGAATGTATTCAGAGATGATGTAGGCTTTCAACGGTGTGTATTCAGTAAACTCTTCGAGAGCTAGAACGTTAACAGTTGGACAATCTGGTTGCTCTCGCCCCAGAATCTTGTACATATGAACTTCGCGATTGTGTAGTTCCTTGACGTGTGATGTCATTGACTTCATTTTCTCAACACCCCATTTCTCGGAAGAAACAAGAGTAGAGAAATCGTATAGAGAGAGTTCAGATGACATCTTCACAGCGATTCTATCTGGTAGATTTCGGAAGTCTTCTTGCGATGGAAAGTTCCAATCTGCCTGGATCATGGCGATTTTTGACATGAATCCCTGGAAAGGTCAGGAATTTGAATTGCATGGAACACACAAAAGAAGAGCTTCATTTTTCAGAAATACCCAAGTATGAAGATCAAAGAGGGTGTAAATAGATTCGCAGTCTTTAAAGATACGCTAAGCACTCCAATAGAAAGAAAAATTAGTCAGTTGGTTACTTTCTGATATCTGTCACATCGGTCCAGATAAACCTGCTCAAACTTCAAAGTGAGGGGCGTTCTGTTGCAAGCTTTGCGGTAGTTGTGTTCATTATCACTAACAGTTTATTAGTTTCCCTTTTTAATAGCTCTCCTCGAAACCGAGATAAACGGTATCAAAGTTGAAGACTCTTTTATTAGAGGATTTTCAATGAAAATTTCAGATATGAAGAACAATTATCAAGGCTTTCCAATCTTCCCAGTTTGGTTTATCTACCTCTTATTTTCCAGCATTGTTTTCAATATGTCCAATTTTAATTAATGTATTTACCCCAACTTTTGATCTCATTTCCGCCGATGACGTTTCATCGATGGTTTTGTGTCTCTAGAGAATTGTGACGGAAGACTACTGTAGATGAAGAATTTATATTAAACTATCTTCTTACACAAAAAAACGACTGAGAAGAGGAAAAAAAATGCAAGGTCTTCTTGTTGTTTTGAATGTGATTAAGAAAGGAAATGATGTACCTAGATAAACCGTACTTAAAAAAGATGTACTTGAAAAAAAGATCAAGAAACTAAAAACCCAAAATTCAGCGTACCTTCATATCTCCAATATCACGAATCTGTCGGTTGGCTCCGAAGCGTGCATTGGTCCCTAGGACTCTTTGCATCTCCATTTCCACATCATGCCACGTCACATGAGTCCCCAGAAGACCATCAGCTGGTTCGTAGAGAGACATATTTCGGTATGCTGCTTTTTATCTAAATATGAAGAATATTCATAAGAGGTCTTTTTGCAGCAAATGGCATCAATGATCACCACCCAGGAATAACGAGATGGCGAGCGAGACAAAGAATACGAAATGAGAAAAATAATGTGCGGAACGGTAAGGAAGGTATAAGGAACAAGAGATGCTGATGTTTTTGGTGTTATTGAAATAATAACTGTTAGACAGTTCGTAAGCTGTTGTTTGACTTTGAACTTGAATGATTTTTTGAACTATTGGTAGGACAAGACTGAAGCGAGTTTATATATGTGTGAAGTTGTTGATCTATGTTGCCGGTGGGATGGAGAAGCTACAGTAGTCCTAGGCTCCGCCCACTTATTTTGGTTCTCTCACAGAAAGGACGAAAAATAGAGAAGAGAAGGTTTCTGCAAATATGTGTACCTCATTGTCTTGAAGGAGAAATTATCACATTGAAGACATAAAAAATTTCATTAATTCTGTCATAAACTACAAATTCAACGATCAAAGCTTGAAATTAATATAGACCTTAGAGTGATGTGAGATCATGAATTTCAGCTGGACGTATTAATAGTATGAGGGTCAAATTAGTTCGTGTCACCCAAATGAAAAAGAAAAAGGAAATGGAGTACAGTATCTATTCAGATCATCTGCACTTTGAAATCAGGAAAATCGGATATCGAAACTTTTCGGAGAACTACAGTAGTCTGGAATTCCACTTTTCCTCAAAACAGTTATGGAATGAAATTCATCATAGTTATTGAATTCGAACCCTGCTTTAGAAAAAACTATAGAAAAAAACATATTTACCATAAACATTCTAATAGAATGTCACCCCAAAATTGAGCCCAAATATCTCGGTTTCTGAAGAAGACTTCAAAAAGTGGTCAACTGACAAAATGTTTATCATAATATCATCAATATTTTATCAGTTGACCACTTTTTGATATGTTTTACAGAAAATGAGATATACCAGCTCAAAGTTGACCGTTTGGGTGGAACTCTTTATTGCTCACAGGAGAATGAATGTCATCATCTGATAGGTACACATTTCGAAATTGTCAACAATTTGTATGAAAAATGTATTGTTTTGAATTTCAGTATATCACTTGACCAGAACTGTAAGAATTTTAGATCATGTTTTGGCTTTTAAAACTCAACTAGACATCATGTTTGAAACTAAAGTAGCTAATTCGGCAATCTAAAATTCTGCAAGACTATCCTAAGTGCAAGACTATCCTTGTAAGATCATTCTAACTACCGTACACCCTCTTAAAGAAAACAGGTCATGATGTCCTAGAAAATGACATGAGTCATAATAAATGCCATCTTATTATATAGTCCTTCCTATTTTGACGTCACAAATTATCGCTCCGCCCACTATTTTCCTGTAGATTTCAATCGGATCTCGAACTTTGGTTGTTTTGTATTTTTCCTCCTCTGACACTCTTTTCCGTAGTTATTCCATAAACTTTTTGAACACTTGGTCTTTTGCATTCTGGCAGACTGCTATAACCATTTGTGCTGGAGGTATGATAAAAACTTGTGACTGTCGAGTCTCCACAAACAATCGTTGTTGAACATCTGAATGATGACGTAGAGTGGATCTCCAAAATGAATAAGATGGGATTCAGATATGCGGTAGAATCGGGTGCACGGAGAGAAAAACAATATAGGAAAGGCGGAATATTGGTGTTTCGGGGAAGTGAATTCGAAAATACGGTATCTGATCTTTTGGATACATGAAGATCTTGGACACATTTTGAAGGCGTGAGAAATGGAGTCGGGAAATATGGAGCATGGTGAGAAGATTTGAATGTTTCTTAGAAAGTTGTGCGAAAAAAAGTATCAGATGTTTCGGTGTAGAACTTTGCTCATGCTTGTGAAACTGGTTCTTTGAACTGAAGGGAGACTTTTTTGGATTTAGTATTTCTGGATAATGAAGTTGTTAGTAAAGATATTTTCAACGGTATCCTGGGTTGACTAGGAACATTTTCTTGTAGTAAAAAATCTGATTACACAAGAAGAGCCAATAGAACACTCTTTAATTAGGGTGTGTGTTTGTCTGGGTGCTCAAAAGTGTGTCTGTATTATTTTCAGATTCCCCTCTTCTCATATTGCTGTTGAACTCCTGAACTCAAAGGTTTTCTTGATTTTCTGAGTTTGCACAACACCATGAGTATGTGGGAACCATAGTCTGGAAATCTGTATCTCGGTGGGAATCAAAAAATTTTTAAGGAAATCGTGGGAAGAAAAAAAATTCACAGATGTTTTGGGGTAGAAGTTTGCTCTGGGTGGGAGTACTGATTTTTTGGGCTATATTTTTTGTTTCAGAAGTGCATGCATTTTTTAAATAATGAAAAAGGGAAATATTTTAGTCTGTACCCGACAAAGAAAAAAAGAGATTTCAGAACAAGAACATTCAAAATGAAGATACCATAAAACCTTTAAAAGAAGGGTATCCACACTTTCCAGTTGGAGCTTGATTATCTCAGTTCCTGTGAAAGATATTTAAAAAGTTGTCAACTGACAAAGTGTTTATCATAATACCAAAAATATTTTGTCCGTTGTTTCATTTTTTAGCTTTCACCAGCCTGTTTGCCGCGGCTCCGGCCCTTCAAAAAGCTGGAATTAACCTTTTTCTTTTACTGTTCGTCGCTTCGCGACTCACTCTTCTTTAAATGTCATGTCAAATAATATTTAATTTTCAAGATTTTCCAAATTTGCGGACAAACTGACAGAGAGAGAGAGAGAGAGAGAGAGAGAGAGAGAGAGAGAAAGAGACGCAACTTCATTTATTTATTATAAGAATGATAGGAGCCGAAGTCAATTGGATCGAAGTTAAAAGTTATGGGACCCTTCTATTGCAGGTTTACTGTATACTGAAAAGTTTCGTTAATATGATGAATATTAAAATCTGAAATTCTCTATTTAAGACGGGAGGTAGTGACTTGGAATTTCTAATAGCTTTTCATCTTGATCTGGAATTATTTTTCGTAGTATTGAAACATCACTTGGCCCAATTCTAGTTTATTTTCAACATACTCAAAAGTTCAAGTCACAATATTCAAATCTTTTGATTTTCTGACTTCTGCATAAATCATGAGTACTCGTTTTCCCACGGCTGTTTATCGAAGAACTAGACGGGTGCACCTGTTTTTTTTCGATTCTGAACTTTTGAACAAAGTTGAACGAAAATCTCCCAACAGAAAATTCAGGAAGTTCGATGAATTATGAAACATGAAATTGGAGTTTCAAAAGGCAATTTTTTGTGATCTAGGTCAGAAAAAAGAGAATTCAAACAGAATTAATATTGAAATTTTATTTTCCCGGTTGGATGTTTTTTTTGGGAATACCGAATCGGACATTTTGTAATTTCCATCTTCAAGATTTAATAATAGCAGGTTTTCAAGAAAATTCATTCCATTTCTTCTTTCCTCTTCATTCAAAAATGGTCAAGATCTTAACGGAGGGGGGAACAGGAGATCTTTCCGAATTTTTTTGGAGTTACGATATGCATTCTGACGTAATGGTGTATAGTTTTTAGTGTTGGGGGTTCGGCCGCCTTATTGTTAGCATGTTCCACCGTAGATCAACTTGTAGCGGCGCGGTCGGCCCCTCCGACAGTTTGACTAAAAGTTTAACTCCTCGAGGGTCGTATATCAACAGAATTTCGAGAAAATTACTTTTTCATGTCCTTCACCTTTGAAAAACACTTTACCCGATCCGTGGTATGCTTTGCAGGCGAAATATGCAAAATTGAAATAAACTGAATATGTCTGCTGCTACCAATCAGGAGAATCTTATGACTATGCAATTATCTTGTTGCAACACCGACGTGTACTGATTCCGTATACGGAACAAACACTAATTCTTCGAATGTTTGTCGTTGAAAATATTTTAGTGATGCTTGTAGGCTTTGAACTCTTCGTTTGAACTTTTGGTAATGTGTCATTTTCCAGTTTATCGAAAAGAAAAATCATTAACAAACGGAACCGAGTTGCGAATGAAAGCAGTGTTTAATTACCACCATGACAAGTTTCCTATCATTTTTATCAGGAGGACAGGTCCTGGATCTTATCGGGCACATTTTATTTGCTTGCACCTGAACTTTTGGGTCTTTGAAATTATACAAGAAACACTCGTTTCTCGTTTCGACTATTTTGTTTCGTTTTTTTTCCAAATTTGACGTGCAACACCAGTGTCTTCTTGATGACGTCAAAAACACTTGACTATGGACGAGAACGATGCGCCGTTGTTTTTTATTATGTCTGCAATAGTTTTGGTCGGTCAAAAAGATCGCGATGTTTGCCGGAAGGGGGTACGACGAATTCGAACGTTTTCAAAATCGAACAGACTTAAAATCGAACAGATTCAATTCAGAACAGTCCTTTTTTCGCACACGTACCAGAACAGAACGCGGACAGAATCGAACTGTTACAAGTTCGAACTGGTAAGGGGTCGAACTGTCCCAAATTGGAACGCTGTTTTGTGTG